GAGGCTTGATTTGAGCCTCATCAGAAAATGTTCTATTACTGTGGTCATCATGTATACCAATGACTCAGATAGTTGCAGCAGCAGAAGCAGCAGCAGCAGCAGCAGCAGCAGCAGCAGCAGCAACAACAACAATATTTTTTTCTGTATTCTGCAACTGCAAAGTGAGATGCTGTAGCCTCTAATACTGTATTTCTCCAAAGGGCAAGCCAAATAACCAGTCCATTTTCAATATTCCACAAGTCAGTCAAAGTATATCAAACTTCATCTAGGGGAATATGACTCAGACCTATGAAAATGGCCTTATTTGTGTCTAATTAGGATACTCCTAAATGCTTTCAATTCTACATATGCAAGTCCAGTAAGATTTAACATACACAGCAACCTAATGTACACCCACACATTTCAGTTTATCTAAGACATAAACGAACCAGACTCAAGCATTTAGTTCAAGTTCTGTGAGATAAGGACCTTATATAGCCAGTAGTTTCATTGTAGATGGACACTTATTCATTTAAAGCCTACATTCCACTAGGGCAAAATAAAGCAACTTTTGAAAAAAATGCTTATTTTTGAAAAGTAAGACTTGTTGAGTAATATTAGAAGCTTTGTCTCAGGAATGGAAATATATCTTAATCCTTAGATGCCAGCAGCATAGAAAGGAAGGCATTATCAATTTTCAGAACAGTATGCCATGTACCATCAGCTTCTGTAATGGATTCAGAGTCATGATGTCTGCAAAAGCTAGGACCATAGTAAAAATAAATTTATGTGAAAATACTCTACTATAAGGTTTCAATTCCCAATAAATATTTCATAGTACTTAGAAGACTGCTCTAATTCTTACTACCAGTATTTTCCTTAAGTATTAAAGAGGGTTTTTGATTTTCCTTTCTTTCCCTAGGATTCTATATTCTTTGTGGGACACCATCCTGGAGGAGACAAGAAGTTTTGAAGGAAAACAACATGTTCTACCATGGCTTCTCTGCACATATCTAAATTTGATTTTGTATTAATGGGGGGAGGAAAAACAGGCATCAATTTTAAGTGCATATTCAGATATAGAGGTATCACTAAGTATGTGAATAACTGAATTTAAAAAGTCTAACAAAATCATGATGGTTCTCCCTTTTAAACATGGCCAAGCTTGTATGTCCATGGATGCATTTTCCTCCAAGGAGTCTAGTAGAATAAAGACATTGGCATCTTTTGCCTAACAAAAGAGTAATGGGTAGATTTTTTTTTGTTTTTACATACTATCCTAGTGAAATGGGTGCATATGGCATTTGAGTTGAAGAGAAGGGAGGAATCAGAGGACATGGAGGTGTAACTGCTCAGCAGGTTATAGAAAGGCTTTGAAATTATGCTGGATTCTGTGTGGTACAGTGAGTACTTATAGCTTATCAGCTTGAACTTCAAACATTTTCATATTACTCAATATTTTATAATAGGCATAAAGCCCTAATTGCTGATGGCATATACTTTGGATTTAGAGAATGGTAATATTCACCAGGCATAACTAAATATATTAAACCAAAGAAATTTAAAATTTTTAACTTCTGAATAACTTTGCTGACACAGAAGAAAACTTATTGGAGACATGAAAATAACCTGAGACAGCAAGGTAACATGATTGATTTTCTGACATAACTTAAACAATACAGATGTACTAAGGACTGTGGCTCAGCTTAGGAGAATTTTCAATTCATTGGGTCACTTTATCATTTTTGGTGTATAACTTTGCCAACACTGTGTATCCGCCTGAGTAAGTAGGCACATAAAAACGATTAAATACTCATCTACAGCATACACAGGATTGTGTGTAAGTCACAAACCTCATGAGTGGAGTAACTAATAGAAAAAAAAACATCATTTATTGATATCTCCTGGTATATCAAAAAACTACTGCGACGCAAGAATCTTTTTCTAAAATTTTCTTTAGATTCTTTTGTTTCAGCTGCCTGAATGGCTCCCTCTCATTCAAGGCTAAAAGCCAAATTCCTCTATAGAGATTGCAACATGCAGGGCTGCGGAATCTCTGACTCCCCCATCCTTGTGACCTCTCTGAAATCTCTTTCTGAAGTTCTCTGCCTCCCACCCCACCACAGCTCCACAAAGGCTACCATCTCGCTTGCTCCTCCTCAAGCACTGCCACGCTTCTGAGCCCCAGAGCCTAAAACAATTGTTAAGTCTGCCTGGCCTCTCCTTGATAGCTTCAGGGTTCCTTCTCTCAGTACCTTCATGTTTTTACTGAAAAGCCGAGGGCTGGATGAAGCCTTCCGTGTCCCTACTGCTTTTCTGAAAAGAGCTTTCTCCTTGGGATTTCATTTCCTTGAAGCTAGCGTTAGTGTTTCCCTTCTTATCACTTATCAATATGAAGATGCTTCATATTGACTTATGTATCTGTCTCTCACACTTCAATGACAGCTCTGAGAGGATAAGCTCTGTTTTCATTCACTGCTCTTGCCCATTGCTGTCGTTATCAGTATCTGTGTCTAGATGAGTGCCTGGCAGAACCCACCCAAAGAATTTATGAGAGGAGGGGGAAACAAATGAAAAAAGCCAATGGGATACAGCAATAAAAAAGACATGTTTCCCCTGGCCTAGCCTCAAAGCTACAAATGCAGATGCCTCCAGGGGACGGACTTGCATTTTATCACAGTGAAGTAGGACAACTGGAAGAGTGCCCAACTGCAATACTGGAAGGCAAAACTAGGATGAGCCCTTCCTCACACCAGGCTGCTTGCATCCTTGTTGGAATGTGGGCCCTAGAACTTTGTGTTTCATTTCATTTGGGTTTCAGCAGAACCCAGAAAGGGATTTCTACTATGTGAACCTAACAAAAGTCTAAAGTACCAAATTTGAGATTGACCACAACAAAAACAAAAACACCAAATAGCACATAGATGCACGTTGGTGTTGCCTGGGCAAAATCATGTGATGTGGGAAAGAAAACCAAACTCTGCTCTGGTGAGGTATGCCTGCCTTCTGTAATATTTTTTAATTTTTAAAATTTATTATTGTTCTTTTATGTGTATGGGTGTATTGCCTGCATGTACATAAATGCACCTGTGTCATGCTGTACCCACAGAGGTCATAGAGGGCGTCACGTGATTGTCAGATCCCCTGAAACAGTTGTTACCTGGGAATTACACCCGGGTCCGTTGCAAGAGCAGCCAGTTTTCTTAACCACTGAGCCATTTCTCCAATCCCCTTGTGTAATTCTTGAAGCAATCAGCCTAGAGTCAATATTGTGGGGCTTGGGGTGGGCGGCTGAGCAGAGACAACTCCTGGAAGATCCTTGCTTCCTCCATGTGTGGAGTTAGGGACACCTGGGCAGCCGAAACTGAGCAGCACTCTTCACTTGGGAGAAATAAGCACCGGGAAGGGGTGGGGTGGGGAGGCCAGAAGTCACAAAGTGTTTCCAGAGGGACTGGGCAATGATAATAAAAAGAAAAAGAGGAAACAGACCCATGTACTGGGCACTGCAGCTCTGAGGGATTTTATTTAGGTTGCCAATACCGCTCCCCACTAACCACAACCCTTCCAAGTGGCAATAAACACCTGAAGGAATTAGTTAGACAAAGTCACCATTTTTAGCCCTACTGCCCTTGGCAACTATATCTCCCAGAGAGAAAGAAAGAAAGAAAGAAAGAAAGAAAGAAAGAAAGAAAGAAAGAAAGAAAGAAAGAAAGAAAGAAAACACAAACAGAAAAAAAGAAATGCAAAAAAAAGAAAGGTATGTAGAAAAGAACAGCACTAACTTCCATATGGACTGGCCAGAAGTTTAAGAGAGGGGTGGGGAACAGTTTGGGTAACAGATACCCAGAATGGGTCAGTAGCCATAGGCTCTCTGTGTGTGTTGGGTCTAAATAGAATGGGGCTGCTTAGGGGAGGATAGTTTCCTTTGCTGGGGCACTGGACAGCACCTGTAGTCTTAGGCAGTTGTGGTAGAGCAAGGACAGCCAAATTCTCTCCACACCATGGAGAGACATTAAGATCAATAATCAGATGCCCATCCTCCCTAGGAACGGCAAGGGTCATTCCAGCATGAGGAAGGACCGTGATGGGACTGCTATTCCTGGGTTCACCCAGGCTCCAAGTTCCTGGATAAAGTACTTGCCCTTTGCAGAGGCCATGGGATGAACTACATTAGTCTGTTCAAACTGGGGTTTGAGGTTCTGCTCAGCACATGTGTCATAGATTCCCTGAAACAAGGAAAGTCTGACCGATATAACCTTGGCCTTTGCTTCAGATGCCCTTGTCAAGTGGTCCCTGCCAAAATGCCCTTCTAGTGACCCTCCTCTGTATCTGCCTTCTTTGACAGTTGCCACTGCCACTGTAGACAGGAGGAGTGATGTGGACACCGGCAGAAGCCCAGCTTTTGCTTGGGTCTTCCTGTACCTCCTTGCGTTCTACTCTCCACACTTCTTTGTCCATATTCTCACTCTCTAAGATATCCAGCCCCTCTAGTTGGAAAGAGTACTTCCTCAGCGTGTCTCCCTTAGCACCTCTACTCTCTATGGACTGGTTCTCTTCACTATGTCCTTGAATTTCTCCTCATGTCCCTGTCAATCTCACCTGTCTTACTCTGGCTGTGCACCTCTTTTAGGCTGCTGAGTCCTTTTCTACACAAGTTACTCTGTTTTTTTCTGAAAGTCAGAAGGTCCCACTAGTGTCCTCCACTCCCTGCCCAGTGCATATTTCTTCCTTGCACTCTGTTCCTCTTCCAGGGAGCCTCTCCCTTTCTGGCTCCCTTCCATTTCTTCCTAAGCAGTCACCCACTCCTGCCCCCTCCTCCACAGCCCATCTCCAGTTCCTTCCCCTCCCCCACCAAGACAAGACCAGCTAAGTCCCATTCCATTTTTAGATGGCTGATTATGATACTAGCTGCACTTCTCTCACAGGCTGAATTGACAGCTGCTCCATCCTTTCACGCTCCACCCACCGAATGCGCCCAATCTTTTCCACAAGACAAAGTGCTTACATACAACACAGCATGCCATGCCCCCATAAATCTGGTTTTCTCAGAACAAGGTTTATGCTGGCAAAGATCAGCAGGCACCCCTCAACTCTCAATGCACTCAAAAGCAGCATTTTTCTGATGTCTACAAATTACACCTTTATTTCCACAGTTGGGGCAAAGTTTTCCCAAACAGTTAGGACTTTTTTACCAAGTCATAGACATAGATATGAAAATCATCGTCAAACTTGATGAAGTACACAGAGGGTTTGGCTTCCACCTGGTGAATGACCATGCCGATTCTTTTGGAGCCGTCTTCTTTGGTGTATTCTACATGTTTGCCTATCAGGCCATCGACAACTCCTCCTGGCCCCCTCTCTGCTGGAGGAGACTCATCGGACTCTGGCATAATACGGAGGTCGCCATCTTTATAATCATCCAGAAGCTGGTACATGTACAGGACAGGATCCTTCTCATAGGTAATGTAAAACCAGGCCTTCATGATAGGTGCTTGGGCTAGGACCATCCCCCTCCATTGATCCTTAGAGCCATGCTCACCCTCAAACATGTGCTCCACTGCTTTGCCAATTATGGTATCTGCGAGGCTGGCATCACCGACTTGGGATGACGCCACCCTGTCGGAAAGAATTTTAAGGGACAAAACTCTTTCATCTCTGTGAAGTTCCAGTCCATAGACACAGTCAACTCCGTCATATTTCACCAGATAAAGAGAAGGATTTATAGGCACCTGATCCAGAACCGTTCCTTTCCACTGGGTGATGGCCTCATTTCCCTCCTTCCATCCATGGGAGATTCTGCAGCCCACAATGTTCCTGCGCGACTGGGATGAAGGCCTGCCCCTCTGCCTCTTCTGAGCAGCTTTCTTTTTGGTCAAGTTTGCAGTCCCAGTGGCCCGTCCTGCAGCGGCCCTGGAGTGTTGCCCTTCGGTCTCTTGTGCCTTGGAAGTCTTCATGCCTGCAGAGAGGAGGGGGGATAGAAACAGATAGCTGAGGGGCCAAGGAGTGAATTTCTGTGCAATTTCCCTGTACCCGGGTGCTGACTCCTGAGTATCCCCCAGGAGCTTGGCAACAATGCTGGGAAGCCTGGGTGTGGGTCCTCTGTGCTCTCTGGGGTTCCTTTCAGCTCTGGGGAAAGGCTGGAGGGGCAAGCAGAGTTCCCAGGGATTAGGAACTCTGAGAAAGGGCAACAACTACTCCTAGTTCCTGGCTAGCGCCCCGCCCCTAGCCATGCAGGGCGCCTTTCCTTTCACCACCTTGTCTGGCACCGTCCCGGTCCCAAGTGCGCCAGCCTACTGGCCTCAGCTCCGTCTGCCTACCCCAGGCGCTTCCCGGTCGCACCTTCTGGCTTCTCCGTGCTCATTTCGGAATTTGTGTCACCCCCTTTTCCTGCTGCTCACTGCAGACCTCCTCCCCGCTCTTGCAATGCACCCACCACTACTCAGCATCTCCGGCTGGATTCCATCCCATCCCCCTCTCCTTTCTGGAGCGCACCAAAGGTCCTTGCCGCTGGGGATCGCGGGCTTCCCTTGTTGGGGTTGGACACCTTGCTGCTGCTTCTGCTAAGAGCCTGCAGGAGAAGGAGGGTCAGCAGGCGACCAGCCCAGTGAGCGCTTGCCAGAGCTGAGAGGGGAGGATCCACAGGCCAGGGGAGTGTCCGGGTGGACAGTGGGGCAGGTGAAGGAGGAGGGGGTGTAAGGACATTGGAGGGCTCTTGGGTCCTCCCGCCTTCCTCTTGTGGAGGACGCCCCTCTGCCAAATTTGGGCTTCCACCAACAGTGGCTATAGCTGCAGTCTCCTCCCTCTTCCCTTAGCGCAGCTTCCTGCATGGAGTAAGGCCTCCCTTTCCTGCAGTACACCCCCCCCCCACTGTTTTTAAGTCCTGACCCCCACCCCCACCACCCACGTTCCTGGAATGATCAATTAACTCTGGCTCTGCCTCTTTCCAAAACCAGTATCAGCTTGGCTCAGAAATTTCCTCTTTCTCCTCAGGTATTTAAATTCCTTGATTCTTATGCCCTTGTCCATTTACATCCTGTCAGTGGCCCTTCAGCACATGCTTTTATTTTTTATAAATTTGCCTGCCTTCCTTCTCCCCCTCCCTTCCTTCCCTTCCTTCCTTCCTTCCTTCCTTCCTTCCTTCCTTCCTTCCTTCCTTCCTTCCTTCCTTCCTTCCTCTTTCCTTCCTTCCTCTTCCTTCCTTTCCCTCAGTGCCCTCATGAAATGATTTCTTGTATGTCAATTTGCTTTCCCTGCCATTGAAAACAATTTGAAATGGATACCCATCCTGTTGCTCAGTATGCCATTTTAACCTAATCGCTTCCTCATTTTTAATGACCTTTTATTTTGATGATTTTTTCCCTTTCATTTTTTCCCCCATTTTCTTTTTTTCTCTGTGGAAAAATAATTGTGAGCATAATGTGAGTACTATGTAGAGTTTATATACCGGACATGAACAACATAATCAACTTCACCCCACCTTTTATTCCCTAGACCTCACAGCAAAATATTAATGTTATTTTATTCTCCTTTTTCCTGTAAGCATTTTCTGAGGACCTACATGTTTTTAAAGCTATTTTTAAATAATCATTTATTGAGCTGTTGGTAAATGTGTTAATTTTTTTGATCTATAAAACTCGATTTTGCTTTGATGCATAATTTGACTTTTCTACCATTCTGCAAAATTTGGAAGAATATTTCCACAGTAATTAGCAATGAAACATATTCACAATGGAAATCTTTGGAAAATATCTTAATAAGCTGCAAGGTAAAAATAACCAATTTATTGTTTGCGAATAAAGACAAGGTTTCTTTTAGCAATGTTGCAAATATTATTTAATTTTTCAAAATTTATTCTTATTTATGTATTTTTGTCTCCATTTATGTAAATGGACCACACGTGTACCTGGTTCCTGTGAAGCTATAAGAAGGTGTTGGAGATATTGTGGGCCACCACGTGAGTGCTGGAAAGGGAACCCTTCTGCTAGAGTACTGAGTGCTTTTAACTGCTGAGCCACCTCTCCAGCCCTTTATTTTATAATGTTTTTATAACATTGTGTATCAATTGTGACACACTGTGTCAATATTTGATTCATTAAAAATATAAAATGCAATAAAATAAAACATAACAAAAAGCAAATGAGCATCCCACAGTTTTAAGAACAATGTGAATGTTTAATAGTTACTCATGGTATCTGAAACACAGGATGATTATATGTTAACAACTCATCTTAAGGCAATAAAATAATGGTTAAATGGTAAAATAAGAGAAATAATTTTTCTTTGAGACAGGGTCTCCCTGTACTCCCAGCTGGCCTAGAACTTGCTATGTAGATCAGGTTGGCCTGGGTCTCACAGAGATCTGTCTACCTGTCTTTGCCTCCCAAGTACTAGGATTAAAGGTATGTGCTACCACATTTGGCTTGTGCTGGATAGCTTCAGTGTCAACTTCACACACCTGGGTTGAGGGAGCCTGAATTGGGTAATTTCCTTCATTGGCCTGGCCTGGCCATGTACATGGGACACCTTCTTGATTCTTGAGTGCTGTGGGAGGGCCCAGCCCACTCTGGGTGGTGCCATCCCTGGGCAGGTGGGCCTGTGTTGCATAAGAAAGCAGGCTGAGCAGAGGCCAGGGGAGCAAGCCGGTAAGCAGCATTCCTCCATGGCCTGTGCTCCAGCTACTGCTTCCAGGTTCCTGTCCTGAGTTCCTACCTTGGGCTCCTGGATGAACTGTGACCTGGAATATGTAAGTTAAATAAACCCTTTCCTCTCCAAGTCGGTATTGGTCAGAGTGTTTTGTCACAGCAATGGAGAGACAAACTAGGACATGGCCCAAAAGCAATAATTTTAATGCAACAGTTAAAGTACATGAGACTATTAAACTATTGTCATTCAATATAAAAAAAGGTTTACACCTAGTGGTAATGTAAGAGGATAGTCATATAACCTTCACTGTAAACAGATATGTTGTACTTCCTCTAAGGCTAAACCTTATGCCTGGGATATTATCCTTGGAATTGTAACCAAAAGTTAAGGTGGACTACCAGGGCTTTAAATTGCCCTTACTGTATCAGTAGTTTTATCAATCAGTCATAAGATCTGCTGAGCATCTTGGGCTTTAAGCATTTTCTTCTAGAATGGATATATTTCTTTAGGGAATAAACATCCATGAAATCTTTGCTCATATTTTAGATCTGATGGCCTGGTGAGATGGCTTAGTGAGTAAAGTGTCCTGCCTTCGTTCTATCACTGTGATCCACATGGTGGAAGGACAGAAGGAATCTTGCAAGTTCTCTGATCTCCAAATGTGTGCTATGGCACGTGTACACACACACCCAAATAAATAAAGGTTAAAAAAAGTAAATAAAAACATCTTTGAACTGTTGTCTTTTATCTTGACCAGATAATTAGGTTTTTGTATTCTTGGATTTTTAGATGCCCTTGAGCAGATAGTGTTTTAGAAGTTTTCCTTTAAAAATATACATACTTTATGTTTTTAAGTGGAAAAATTGTTTTGAACTGCTCGTTCTCTTGGCTTTTTAAATCTCCTGTTACTAAAATTCCAAGTTATAAAATATATGTCAACATTAGTGTGTTGTATTTACTAAATATACACAGCTTTTTGTATGCCAATCACACCTCAATACCTCAATAAAGTGTTTTAATTTTTAAAAATTCTTCTATTTGTTATAGCTCAAAACAGAAAATTAACTCAAATTTCCATCAAAGTCAGTCAGATATTATGGTATATTCATAGGCTGGGATACCACACAGTAATGAGAATGGGCAAACTAGAGTAGTATGCAATGTGAATGAAATTCACCAACATAACTTATTGCATTGGAAGTTAAAATACTACTTTTTCTTTTTAAATAATTTTTATTTATTCTTTAGATTTTTTATACATGTATACAACGTATTTTGATCTTGTCCATCCCCCATTAAAAATTAGTTCTTCTTGAAGGGATATATTGAATGCGATGATAAGAAAGTCATATTATACCACTGTTGTGTAGCAGTTTTCTCTAAGATAAAATCTTCCATCTTAGAGGACGTTTGTTAAGACACTTGTTGTTTTAAGGGGTGATGACACATTCTATCTTGTATGAAAGCTCTTTCAGCTTGGGAAATAAATAACTCAAAGGCGAGAAGTCCCTGTCACTGACCAGATACACAGGCTCCTCCCTCTTAAAATGTATATACAAGCAGTCAAAACTACTGATAGACACTCTCAGACAAGCCAAGTTGCCTAGAAGACTCTCAAATAAGCTGAGATGCCTAGAACAAGCTCAGACCAGCCAAGCTGCCTGGAAGAAACAGAGACCAGGCCTGTTGCGTGTAAGCAGCTCAGACCAGCTGAGCATTCTAGAAGAGCTACCTGTAGTTGTGCAGTGTACTCAAGGTTTCTAGCTTTCATGAGCCCAGGACAGTGATGCAGCTGTATTTGTGACCTTTTTGCCACTGTTCCTCATCCATATTCCTATAAGTAACACAAATAAAACTCTTTGGTTCACCATATTGGACTTTGGTGTTATCCTTACCTTGGTCTGTCGTTGGTTCTGAATTTGGGATAAGTAGGTTTATTCATGTCTCCACATGAATAGTGTCACATAAAAAATCTACTTATCCCAACTTGGGAATCAACAACAGAACAAGGAAGTAAAACTGGAAATATTTTTGAAAGTGTAGGTATGGTTAAAAAGATTATTGAAATTCTGAGCTGCGAAATTATTGATTTATAGTAGTCATTTCAATCAACATTCAACCTTTGCTCTCACTTCAGGTGATAGTGTTGCCATTTCCCCCTTGGTTTCCTCATCCTAATCCCAATCCTAAAACCTAATCCTATCCTGTTGAAGCTTGGAGTTATTGTTGCAATGATTGGATTAGGAAGAGGTACCTCAGTCAGAGGAAATACAACATGATGCTATTTTTGCATAAACTTCTGGGTATGAAACTGGTACTGTTTTTTCTTTGGGTATGAATGAACATGAGAGGATACAAGGATTAAGTGTTTTAGTCTTCTTACCATCAACAGGAAATTGAAACTGAAAGCACCACAGAGAGAAGAATGAAAAGCCCATCAAATGGATGCTAAAAGCTCTTGTATATTTTGGGGCTTCCTTCAAAAGATTATGCCTTTCCTCTTTGAGTTCTGTGAGTTGTTTGTGTTTTCTTTGATCATGTTTATGACTGCTCTTTTAAATTCTGGGTCCTGGGGTTCTACATGCTGGTTCTCAATGCTGTGTACTTCTATAGGACTCCTGGGTTTTGTTAGAGACATGTTTTCCTGGTCTTTCATATTGTTTGTGTTTTTGCATTGCCATTTGGGCATATGAATGTTCTTTGTTGGTTATGTGTTCAACAGGAAAGTCTACTCTGTTTTTGTTTATTTTAATTTTGTTTCTACTAATATTTTTTATGTAGTTTAGTTACTTTTTGTTTCAGTATGGAAAACAAATTGGTGGGTATTTCAAGTTCTTGTTGAATAGTAGACTGATTAGAGTCCTGACTGAGTAGATTTGTTTGCTCAATTGAGAAGCTGGGAAGTTGGCCATGAGGGGACTGCCAGAATAAGAGGATGGTATCAGGATTCCCAGGCAGGTTCGGTGTGAGGACA